GATGATGATGGCGGGGTGACTCCTCTCCTCCTGGCCAGAGTTGGGAAAGGGAGACGCTCCCCCTTCTCCAGGCTTTCCTTGGGTGGAAGGAAGGAAAGAAAAATAATAATAATCTTACAAGGAAATCCAAGAGGGTTATTATATTGGGAGAGGGGATGATGGGAAGAAAAAATGGGGCCAAGACGGGGGAGGACAGGGCAGAAGCGAAGTTGGGGGGGGAGAAGAGGGGAGGGGGGTTCAGGGTGAAAGAGGGATAGTTCAGCTGGGTGACCGGGCGAAGGAAAAGGGAGGGTGGACGGGTGATGAAATTGGGGGGATTCAGGGAGAATTGGGCCAAGGATCGTTGTCCGTCTCGCCTGCCTAGCTGGGTTTGTTGTTGCGGGTGTGTGTGTGGGAATCCTGGACCATCCTGGATTCCTAGGAAGAAAAAAATGGCAAATCAGTTGAGCAAGTAAAAGCAGCCATGGAAGGGCGCAGGTATGTCCGTGAGCGAGAGAAGGAGGCCGACAAAAGAAGCACAGGGGTTGGTTCCTTCCTTCCTCTGCCTTCCTGGCTCTTGCATCTTCCCTTTCTCGGCTGATTTCTCTCCAGGTCATTCCAGGCCACGAGACGCAGATCCCGGAGGCGTTGTGCTGGGCGGGAGGAGACCGGCTCTTCGGTGCCGGCCTAAGCGGGGACATTGTGGAGTATGACCTAGAGAAGCTGCGGGTCAAGTATGCGCTGGATGCCTTTGGAGGGCCCATCTGGAGCATGGTGCCTGACCCGACTGGGACCCAGTTGGCGGTAAGTAGCTCCCGGGGAGAGCAGGCGGGAAAGGCAGGAGCTTTCTCCGAACTCCTGAGACCGGGGAGAAGGCCCAGATTTGCCCTCTTCTACTCCAGAGGACAGGACTAGATAGTGAAATGTTAGAAAAAAATATTTTAACAGGAGGACGGGTTGGGCTGGAGAATCAGTTATTCGGAAGAAGACTAAATTACCCTCTGGTGAGCATCTTTATACAGAAGTCGCTCATCTGTTGAGGATGCTTTTCGCTCTGGATTTGCAGCAGAGAGAAGGAAGCACAGCTGGACAACTGGCAACCCCAACCCCATCTCCCTTCATTTCCACCTGTCCTGTTTCCTCTCAGCATCCCCTTTCCTGCGGCTCACAATCATGGTGATGTCCTCGAGTGGCCGCCTTTGCCCTGAGCCTAAGGGCCGTTCCTGTGCTTCTATCCATGGATGCCCCAGTGTGGCTTGGTCAGCCGGGGCTTCTGTGATTGCGGAGGCTACTTTCACTTTTGGGCACCAGCCCTCTGGGGCAGGCTGCTTGACCCTCTTCTTCTCATCCCTTCAGGTGGGTTGTGAAGATGGATCCATCAAGCTCTTCCTTGTCTTGCCCGATCGAATCCAGTTTGAGAGGCAGTTCGACCGACAAAAAGGTGGGTCCTGGGTGGCTGTGGGGTGGCGGGTCTGTGCCAGTGGAGGGGAGCCGGAGAGGATCTATGGGTCTGCTCTGTGTGTGCCCAAGACCTTCCAGATGCCAGGGGAGAGAAGTGGCAGGCACGGAGGGAGGGAGGGAGAGGGAATGGAATGGTCTTGCGATGTTTAATTCCCGGACTGACATTACCCCACAGAGCGCATCATGTCTCTTTCCTGGCACCCATCTGGGTCCAAGGTTGCGGCTGGTTCCATTGATTTGCTCCGCATCTTTGATGTGAAATCGGGTGAGTTCGGGACTCAGGCACCCCTTGGTGCCGCCCTCGGTGCCTGTGACCGAACAAAGCTCGGAGCAGGACCGAGCGCCCCCTGTGCTTCTCAGGGATCACCAGCCCGTCTCTTCCCACCAGGGAGGGAGGCTGGCCACGCCGTCTTGACGTGTTGTGAGGGTTGACTGCTTTCGTTCAGGCCACGCCATCCAGCGGATCAAGGTCGAACGGCGCTTGCAGGGCCCCCGCAGCCAGAAGTGTGTGGTGTGGGACCTGGTGTACCTTTCGGACGGCACCATCGTCAGTGCGGACTCCGCGGGGAAGGTGCAGTTCTGGGACTCCGAGATGGGGACGCTGCTGTCGAAGCACCCGGTCAGCAAGGCTGCTGCGCTGTCCATCGCGGTGTCCGAGGTGGGTGGCCCCGCTTGCAACACAGAGTTTCTCCAAGGAGCCTGGTCGCCCGGGGCAAGCGGCCAAAGGCTGAATTAGACCGACCGTTGTCCGTCTGACTGACATGACAACCTCGGGTCTGGGTTGTCGTGCTCTGATCTGTACTGTTTTCTCCATCACCAGCTGAGGTTTTGCACAGAGCGAGGTTTTAGCTTTGGTCTGCGTTGGTAGCGCAGCCCTCTTTCCTAACCTTTGGCTTCCTGGTCCTTTACGCAGGCAGAAGACAGCCTTGTGGTGGGCACCTCAGAGGGGATGGTGTACCAGTTCCAACGGCTGCCAGTTAAACTGGGCAGCGCTGAGCACCAGTGGGTGCGGACCAGACCCTTTCAGTTCCACACGCATGATGTCCGGACAGTATTACACACTGCAACGGCATTCATCTCTGGAGGTATAGTGTGGAGAAAAGCTGCATGCGCGGGAGTCCGAGAGATAAACTCGTCAATTTTGGATGCAGGGGCTTCTCGGTTCAATCCTGGGCATTCTTGCAAAGAAAAAAGTCGGGTCACGGTTGATGAGAAAAGGCTCTGCTAATATCAATTCAGACAAACCCCTCCGGACTTTTTCAACCGACCGTCTGGATGGGCGTCGGGGGGGTGGGGGCTGTAATCTGCTGTGAAATGGCTTGGCTTTAACGCCCAACCGCTTCTTCCTCCTCCAGGCCTGGATGGCCAGCTCGTGATCCGGCCACTGATGGACAAGGTGGAATCCAAGACGTACGAATCTGCTCTCCGGAAGATTACCTTTCCTCATGTAAGTGGGCCACCTGTGGGCCTCCAGGGTCGCTAGTGGTACCTTCTCTTCTCTGGTTGTTTCTTGATGGGGCCCGGCATGCCTTTCCCCCCCCTCTTGCCCCCCCCCCCATGGATTTGATCCTTAGAAGGGTAGAGGGGCAACTGGGGTTACAGGATCAGATCTCCTCCGTTGCTGTCCTGGCAGAAACATGCCCACAGAACCAACTTAATAGCGACCCTAATAGGGCTTTCAAGGTAAGTGAGCTATTTAAGGCATGGCTTTAACCAGTTGCACACCCCCAGAGAGTTTCCATGGCTGAGTGGAGATTCGAACCCAGGCCTCCCAAGTCCTAGTCCATCACTCTATCCCCTATGCCACACTGGGTGTCTAAGTTTACTCAAGTGTTGCTTCTCCCCCTCCGCTTGCAGAGATGCTTGGTCTCTTGTGCTCGGAAAGCCCGCCTCCTCCTCTTCCAGTACCCTCAGCACCTGGAACTTTGGCGACTCGGGGCCACCGATGCCACAGGTGAGAAGCGTGGCTCC